TCTGGGTGGAAGTCTTCTTAACCCCACAAGTCTTGCATTATGCATGTGTCTGAAACCAGCATCATATGGATGATGCCAATGTCTACTGTCAGCTGGAGCAATAGCCAGGCTTTCCCCTCTCTTGGCTGTAGAGGTCAAGTGTCTAGACTACTGAGCTCTCTGATTCTAATTCTGAGGAAAAATTTTTCTAAACCACCCACTCTAGAACACTGTGCAGCCACCCCCATTCTGGAACAGTTCTCTGGAGCTCTTTTTATTTTTTCTTTTTTGGTACCAGGAATCAAACTAACTCAGGGCCTTGCACTTGCCAGATGGGTGCTTAGGCATCTAAGTTATAACACCAATCCTTTTCCTGGTGTAGTTCTTTTTTCTTTTTTTTTTTTTTTCCGGTACCAAGGATTGAACTCTGGACCTTGCACTTGCCAGCAAGGCACTTATACTGCTGAGCTATATCTCCAGCCCTGGAGTTTTCTTTTTAAAGAAAAGTCTTTTATTTTTGAAGCTTTGAAGTTATAAATGGTGAGATCCTGTTGCTTTTTGGCCACTTAGGCCATCTTTTATATTTTTCTATTTCTTTGCTTCAGTCAGGATTTCCTCTGCTCGGTGTTTGTAGCCCACAACTCTACTGGAGTTTCCTTTCTAAACAAACTCACAACATTTTAAGTAACTTTGCTGGGAACTTTGGTCTTGATTTTCAATATAAACCTAGCTAAAAGCCCCCAAAAAAATGGTAGCCACCACCTTAATATTTGACTGCCTTCAAATTTTTTTACAAGTTTAGTTAGCCTGCCACCCTTCATCTTAGTCTCTGGCAAAATGAAGACAAACATTCTGCCAAGCCGTAACGCACATTGTCTGGACTCCAATAGCCAATGCAGTCCTTCCAAAAAGAAACCTCTGGAGCTTGATCTTTACTGGTAGGACTTTTATCAGTGTTTTGGTCTTCTGAGCTATGAGCAGGATCTCTCATACACAACAGCCTAAGTTGCTTCAGCTCCACCTTTTCAGCTGGTGTCTCTGAACTTTTCTAAACTCTCCCCACAAACCATTTTAAAGGTTCCTGAACCACATGGTCAGTTATAGTCACAGAAATAACCTCATTTCTGGTATCAAGTTCTGTCTTAGTTACTTTTCTCATTGTAGAGACAAAGTACTTGATGCCCAAAATTAAGGGGGAAAAGGTTTGGTTAGATCACAGTTTCTAGAGGTTTCAGTCCATAATTGGCTGGCTCCAAGGCAGAGTGGCACATGGCAGAGGGGCAACCATTTATGGCAGCAGAATACAGCAAAAGGAACAAGAGCAAAAAGGGGTGAAGCAAGCCCTTTTTCTCCCTTCTATTGTATGTAGGCTACCTACCCTAGGGAGGGTGTAGCATTCATACCATGAATCCCAGCACTAGATAATGAACCAATGGTAAAACTCTAGATTCAGCCACCTCTGAAAAGCCTGTTTCCCATGACCACATGAGTCATTGGAGGGACAGCTAGACACAATCATCACAGCAATAGAGTAAGTACTTAAAGCTAAAGGCAGCCCAGAAGTGTTGGTCAACAAGGATGGACCTCACCTCTGAACATTGGTTCAGCCTGATCAGAAGCCTCCAGTAGAAGCACCCCAGTGCCCTGGCTAAAAAATAATAAATAAATTCCAGGATGCTCTTGTCCAATATCATGAGGAAGTGAGAAGCACTGTTGACAAGTGATAGTGACACCTCCACCCTCTCTAAGAACTCAAGTGAGTAAGCTGATTGTCATTCATGTCTCTTCACTCCAGAGCCAAACATTGGCAGCTAAGGAAGATTTCAGCACCAACCACTGTCACTGTGGCAAAATATCCTTTCTACAGATGCCATGGGGGATGTCACCTTGCACAGGAAGACTCAATACACTCCCATGGAATTGGGACCCCTTATCCCTAAACGTGTACTGAGCAGTATATCTTGAGGAGATAGTTGAAAGCCAATTATCACAAAGAGCTTCAAAACACAAGTTTTTGCTAGAAGGCCAAATTTGAGGTCACTGAGCTGGAATGCATTCTCAGTTTGTCTGGACAGAGAGAAAGAAAGAAATGTGGAAGAAAATATTTCATCCTGGACTTCCAGGAGCTTTTGGATTTCCTGTGGCAATGTCTGGATCTCACGTATGGCGCCCAACCCTCTGAGTCGTGATCGCTTCTTGGCCACACAGAAAACTCCCAGAGCCAGCTGTCTTCTTTCCAGGCTTGACATCAGTCTGAAAATCAGGAGCGGCAGCCAAGTCCCCCTACCGGGCTTACAGCTCAAGAAGGAAAGTGTATCTTCCTGTTCTCACCGAAGCACCCAGGCTTCACTTGTGCTGAGAAGAAAGACGTGTTGAATTACCATAATGTATCCCATAAAGATGTTCAAATATTATGTATTGAAAGAAATATTTAAAGAAAAAAATAACAAATAGTACTCAACGTGAATACCACTGGAAATTAGTACTGTCTCTGTCTAGTCTCCAAAAGAAAAAGTACTGGAACATTCCAAAGAAAACAACTTGCCTATTCTTTCATCTTTGTAGATAGATGAAAGTCTGAGGCCCAAAGAAGGAGCAGCGACTTGCCTCAGATCACACAGGTTCTGAATGGCAGACCTGAGACTAACAGCTTGATTTTTTCTATTCCTAATAAAGTACATGTTTTACTACACTAATTTTAAATAAAATTATAACTTTTTGATTTAACTCTGTTTTTTTCATTCATCCTTTGTTTCTTTGTTTCCCTTTCTTTTTTAAATTTTTTTAGCTCTGTGCCTGGCACATGGCCCCCCAGTAAATATTTATTGAATGAAATGTTACATGAAGATATCAAAGAATCCTCCTTCTTGGGGGAAGTTTGAAACTATTTTTAGAAAATCCATTTTGCAGCCTTGAGAAGCCTTTGAGTTGTGCACACATCCGCATGTTAGACAAGCTACATTCTCGACTGAAAGTTGAACTTGGCATGTTAAGAGTGACATACAGAGTTGAGAATAAGAAGAGGTGTCAGAGCACAAGCATCACTGATAGCACCTAAGAATTCTCAGTAGCAGCGTCTTCTCACAGGCCTTAGGGGTCTCTCTCCACACAGACCAAGGCACAGGCAAGTTCCTTAAGTGCTTGCCTGATGATGGACTAAAATCACATCCAGTTCTAAGTCTGTACTCCAGCGCAATGCACTTAGCTCAGAGTACCCTGCTGCTGACTATGTTTCTATCCACACCCTCAAAGCACTTAGCCTGGTTTTGTAAAAACTGGTTATTTTGATCCAAAACAGTCACAGTTATTTCCACCTATGAAAAATCTCCAGTATCACTCTCACTGAAGCCAGTACTCACTTTGATAGATAAAGCCACCCTTTGGCTTTATCTATTTATCCTTAACACTTGAATATGATGAAGAAAGCAGGTTTTATCTTTGTTTACCAAGGTTTCGTTTCTTTATTAGCTATTCTTTTTCTTTTTAATAAAACAGCCTCACTTAAAGCACAATTTTTCTCAACAACACAGGCAACTAACAGTGAAGAAAATAAAAGTCACTGTCAATATTTTATGATCATCCCTCCCTTCCTTTCAACTTCTGGCTTCATCACCTAGAATTCTAAACTCATCCTTGGAACTGCCTTTCTCTGGATGCATTAGACTGAGGCTTTTATGTTGCTTCACTTAATTCTCACATAATTCCAAAATGTGATGATTATCAGCCCCATTTTAGACACTGAAAACTGAGACTCAGAGAGATTGAGACCCACCCAGGAGCACAGAGCTAATATATGACAGAACTGTGTTTCAAATCCAGATTTGCTCTTTTAAAGGCCAAGTTTAAGGGAACTTACACTTGCCAGGCAGGCACTTATGCCTCTGAGCTGTGTCCTCAGCCCCAGATAACCTTTTCTATCTCTTTACTGTTCCAGGCACTGTGCTCAGAGCCATACATACATCACCTCAGACCTTCTTGAACACAAATAAGCACAGTGGGTAGGTTTTACCCAGTGATTGAAAAAACTAGAAGTTTAAGTGACTGTCTCAGAATTATATACCTGATAAAAGGCAGAGCCAAGAAACAAACCCAAGAGTTCTGACTCCTAATTCCATGCTCTTCATTAGGGAACTACATGACACCCCACACTTCAGGAGCTGAGGCTTCTATTCTACACACTGTTCTGTCCTTTGTTTTTCTCCTAGGTGAGAGTGGTGGGTTTTCCATCCTTACCCTTAAACTTGAAACAACATGACCCAGTCCTGGTACGTTTCTCCATCTGGTGTCCCCTGTCCTTGATCACAGCTTTCACAGCCCACATACCCTGATGGTGGGCCACAGCCACCTTGCCTCCTCTGTCTCCCTGTCCTTACCTCAGACACCTTCGGCTTGACGTCTCACACCCAACCCCCAAAGCTGAACCAGACCTCAGATTTCAAGCATACTCTCGTTTCTGTGATCTGGCCCATTCTAACCTGGAGACACACCTCATCCCACCCCACATGCTCTCTAGGACTCCAACCTACCCTGGAGCCCTGGCCTGCCAACAGTTGCTTCCATTCCCTGCACCCTGGATTGGCTCAGGATTCACAACCAACCAAGCAGTAGAAATTCTGATAACCTCAAAATCTCTGTAGTTGAAAAGTAGTATCAAATCTCATCATTGCTACTTAAATAAGGAGATGAGAGCACATGTACACAGGTATACTAAGTAAAGTTGGATTATATCTACCAGTCTACTGGAGATAACCTAGGTGTGTGGCTTTGGGAAAGTCATCTCACTCTGGTCATCAGCTTCTTTCATCTGTCAAATAGCAGGTAGGGCTAGGTAATCCCAACCCCTAAAACCTCTGAAATTCTATTAGCCTATGATGAAAGCTATGACAAGCCTGGCAGACACAACTCCCATCAAAGCTTTTTTTTTTTTTTTTTTTTTTTTTTTTCTTCCAATCATTAACTAATCTAATAGGCTATTTCAGCAAGCTAACAGCAAAGTTCACTTCCAGGAAGAAGGAGAGGATTCAGGACAGCTGGACATTCCTGGATATCACTGAGGACCTAATCTTAACCTGGTCTTTGTTTTCTGGCAACCGTGAAAGGAGATCTGCGGGACCTTCATAGAAATGGGACGCACTTTGGGATGCAGGACTACTTTCCGTGAGTTGGAAACAATTAGTGACTGAAGTTAAGATGAGATCCCTGTTTTGAAAATGTTTAGTTTTTTTGTTTGCTTTCTTTTTGAAGTTTGGCTCAATCACTTGTTTTTCTCTGTTCCTTATGTAATCTTGTGGGAAGTAAGAAAGTCATAAATCGTTCATGGTGCTCTGAAAAAAATCTCCATACAAAGCACACGCAATTTGCTATGAAATAGGAGATGTTTTGCATAAAGAAAAAGGTAATTCACGTGGTTTATAGCCCACACTGATCACTAATTCCCACAGTCACTATGTGGCTGTCATTTGTTTCTGGCTTCTTGTAGTAGGTTTTAACTGGGGACTAAGTTAAAGATATAGCCTGTCACCACCCTAGTGAATTTTTCCAGAAGTCTCAAAAATGATGCTGTAGTCCTGGAAGACTTTTATTTCCTGTTTGAAGAAACCCAGAAAGCCTCCTCTATGACCAGAAAGCCCTTTCTCAGTATGTTTGTCACTGCTACCTATGATTTCTATAGGTTAAACTCCCTTTATAAAATGTAAACACACAAAAAAAGTAAATACATTTCCCAAAACTGACACACAAAAATACAACTGGCCCCTGGCAAAGTTGCCCACACAGCTAAACCTCAAACATTATTGGTTTAGCTAATAAAATTGGGTTAGCTAAATTGTTTCTAATGTGGCAGCAGCTAGCTATGATGAGACAAATTATGTTCTAACCAACAGGCAAATTATGCTTTTTTTTTTAAATCTCTTTTATATTCATTGACTCATCTGAGCTTCACAGAAGTAACAAGAATGAGGATTTGTGTTCATTTACTCATTTGTTCTTACCACAACTTAATGGACTGCCAAGCACTGTGCTAAAGATACAGGCAAAATAATAACTCTCCTTACCATTGTGCCCTTCATAGTGGATTGGGTGACAGACAGACAGACAGACAGACAGACAGACAGACACACACACACACACACACACACGCACACACATGCACACACACACACACACAAAAGCTTTACAGAGACACAAACCAAAATGAGAATGGTTCCTAAAAGTTAAGTGCTTTGTCCTAAGTTAAATGGGTGGAAAGTTCTAGAAAAGAATTTCCTCCCAGGTCTAATTTCAGAATGCTCTTGAAGACCTCTTTGAGATTTTTGTACTGAACAAATATTGCTGGGAGAAAGTGGAGAAAAGAAAGGTCCTACAGTGAGGTTCTATCATTTGAGGAATAATCTGGAGAAATTTGTCAGTAGCCCACAGAACTAAAAATAAACTTTTTTTCAGCAGAGCAAATGAGAAAAAGTCCCTGAACTCTACTTCACATTTTCTCCCCATAAGCCTTGAGTTGGTATCCAGCCTAGCCCAGTGTCCACCTTTGGGCTGGTGCTCAACCAACGCCTATTCGCTCTTTGTTCAACTGTCATCAGATTATTCATTCAACCTCCTGTGTGTATGTTAATAATGACAGTTGCTCCCCACAACATCTTTGCAATGTCAGTGGTGTGGTCTCTTGAACCCCTAGTGCTACAATGAGGGAAAGTTTTAAACTGTCCTCCAGATATTTGTTTTTCCGTGCTGTTGAGAAGCTTGTTTAGCTCACTAATTTTATTCCCCTTGAATGTTCAGAAAGCATAGCCTGTTCCCAGTTCCACAGGACATCTATTTGTGCCGTCCATCTGTTGGGTTTCCAGAATTCACTGACGATCAGTGAGTTCTGGGGTGACTCTACCAAAACAGCACAAATGACTCCCCCTCTGAACTGTGGTCCCATCACCCCTTCTCTTTTCCTCTCTGACACTCTCCTCTCCCTTTCCAGAGCAGCAAATCTGTTCTCCTTTGCTCAAACACAGCTAAGTCTACCTATCAGAGCCTCAGCCTCTATAGAGGTGTCTCCTCAAGGAGTTTTTCATCACAAGGTAGATCTGTCCTCAGAAAGTATGCTAAGATCAGCTGCTATGACAGTAAGGAATTTTGCACCTTTGTGTCACCCAAGAATAAGAACCAATATGTAGAACCACTGCTTGTTATTTTCCATATTTCCTTTGGTCACATGAAGAAAGGTGGCAGACTGTCCCTGTCATGATGTATTTCTGAAATATTCTTTTCTCAACTAAAAGACTGCCTTCTCCTCCAATCAACAGCCAGGATATCTACCTGGCTGTGATCCTCTGGCACCACTGGCTCATATATGCTGGATATGGTCCGAGGTTTTCCTGAATCTGTGACTATAAGCCACATGGAGCAGTAAAGAATCATGGATTCTAAACAGCAAGAAATCCTGGCATTTGTGATGATATGAATGAACTGAAGACACCAAGTGAAGTAAAATAATTCACATAGAGGTGAACATGAAGTCATCTTACATATGAAATCTAAAAACTGGATCTCATAGAACGTCCAATCTCGTAGAAAGTAGAATGGTGGTTATGAGAGACTGATCAGAGTGCAGTGAGAGGGCAGGAGAGATTAGTGAATACTAAATTACAGGCAGGCAGAAGTATGAAATTTTACTATTTAGTAGCTCAACTGGGAAAATATAGTTAGCACTAGTGTACTGTATGTTACAAAGTAGTTAGAAAAGGAAGTTTTTAATGTTCTTACCATAAAGAAGTGATAAAATATAAAGTGATAGTTATGCTAATTGCTCTTTTTTATCATTCTTCAATATATCCATAACAAATCGAAACATTACGTTAGCCCTCAGAAAAAACATATATCTGAATGTTAATTAAAAAAAAACAAAAGTTAATTAAAAATAAAACAATCTTATGCTCTGTTCTCTAAGAACTCATGAATTCCACTCTGGCACTGATTTAGTTCATAATCCTGAGAAAAAGAGTACTTCTTTCTTTCTTTCTTTCTTTCTTTCTTTCTTTCTTTTTTTCTTTTCAGAAATGGGAATTGAACGCAGGCCCTTGTGCTTGACTACTTCTTTCTGCAAAATAGTGATGCTACCCACAATTAACCTCATAAAATCATTGCAAAGAAAAAGTAAAATAAAACAAAAAGAGGCAAACATGCAAAGTGCTTGGCTTCTCACCTGGCTAATAGTAAATGGTACTCAAATCAGTGCAACTACTGAAAGAGAAAAACATGTAGAAGTAAGACTTTTATCTTTTAAAGGAAAGATACAAATTACTACACTGGGAGTAATTTAGGAGGGAAGGACCCATTCTGATTGCCAGATGTTATCCACAGTATACAGACATTGAGTTGGTTGTGAAGAGATGGTAGAATTTGTTTTTTTTAATAATTTTATTGAGAAACAAATAGCAATGAGACAGTTTCAAAACTGATTACTAGCACAGTTTCAATAATTAATACATTGCATATTATTGTCTTAGTGGTTATTCGCTGTAAAAGATGCACACATGATATCCTGTCCATAATCATTATCCAGCAGAAAAGCATAAAAACAAAGTTTAAAAAGTAAAGCCTTATTAATATGCTGAGCTGTAAAAGGCTCAAGTCAACAACTTCTGCCATTGACAGTCTTACTGAAAACCCACTACTGTTAGGGACTACTGGACTATACTGGAATATTTTGCTGAATTCACGCACCTACAACATTTAAATGGCAATGGAATACCCATCTCTGACAAAACTAAACAAAAAAAGGGGATACAAATGAAGGACCATTTTGTATCTGCATATTCAAAATAGGATAGATAAACAGCTGCATTCTCTTAATTCAATGAATAGAGAGATTTGTTCTAATAGCATTTGTGGACAGGATATCATGTCTGCATCTTGTACAATGAATAACCACTGAGATGATAGAATTTGGATGAGTGGTCTTGGGAACTTCCCACAAGAAATGGATTAACAGTGTTGAAAAGCTATCTAGAGCCTGTACTGTAACAACATGTAACTCAGTTGTGCTTCAAATTTTCTGATCAAGAAGATCATGGAGTCACAGAGGAATGTGATTGATGATGTATAGTGTGCTTGGGGAAACTCACATGGAGAGAAAAAACATTCTCTCAGACTTTCACAGAGAGCAAATTGGTCAAGCAATGGCTGCGACTCGACCTCATGGCTGACACTGACAAAGGATCTACAAAGTGCGGTACAGGGCTACAGGATAAATCCTGAGGGTGCTTGACTGACCTTATCAGATACAAAAGGTACATTTCTTGTTATATAGGTCTTGCTTTATCTTGGTCTTAACCATCCAGCAGAAAAGTATAAAAACAAGATATATAAAGTAAAGCCATATTAATACAATGAGCTGTAAGAGGCTCAAGTCAATAACTTCTGAGGATAACCCACTAAAATTATAGACTGCTAGACAGTGTTAGATTGTTTAGCTGAATTCAAATACCTTAGTATTTAGATGCCAATAGAATATTCACCTCTGACAGGTCTAAACAAAAAAAAGGGGATACAAAGGAAAGATCATTTTGTATTTATATATACAAAATAGGATAGATATACAGCTACTTTCACTTAATTCAATGAGAAGAAAGAGGTGTACTCACAGTGTTTGGACAGGATATCCTGTCTGCTTCTTGTACTATGGATAACCACTAAGAAGATAACAATGCACGATGTATTGATTATCGAAACTGTCCTATTAATCAGCTTTGAAACCATCTCATTCGTATTTATTTCTCAATAAAATTTAAAAAAAAGAAAAGCTATCTCTTTCTGGTAGTATTTGGGGCTTAAAAGACAGTAATTTTTCTCCTGTGACAGTTAAGGTGAAACTTATTGTTGCCGCATTGAGAAGTGACTTGGTTGGGAGAGGCTTTCAAAATTTTATGGCTAATACTCTACCTGACCCTGTGCAATCCATGCATCACATAGAATTATAAGACTAGATGTTTCATTACCTGAAAGAGCATTTAGACCAACAGTCATTAGATGTCTCAACTTTAATGCAATTAGTTCAAAATTCTTTTCCAAAACTCATCTACATAGCAGTCTCCACATCTGCAATGAGAGGAAGTTGGTCGCCAATGCAATTTGATTATAATCTATATAATGATGCTTCAGGT